GGCTGGGTGGAGCGCAGCGGGACGGGATGGGATGGGTGTGCCAGGGACGGGGTGGGGGTCCCTGGGCGTGGGGCAGGGATGGGTCAGTGGCCGTTTGGCCACCACGGGTTGTCCCTCAAGGGTGGCCTTGGGCTGTAAGTCCCGACCTACGGGTACCTCCCGGACAGGGCTCCCTGCTGCCCCCCAGCCAGTGACTGACCTGGGCCGGGCTGGGGTAAGAGCCTGGGGGCTGCTGCCCTGTCCCACCACCCCTCCTCACATCCCCCCTCTCCAGCAGCGTCCCTGTGTGTGGCCTCAGTCGCGGAGCGGCCGCTCTGTGTTTTCTTCAGAAAAAGGAAAAAAGTTCCTTTGCTTACTGCTGAGCTCATTTTTAAACATTTATATTAGGGGGGCTTGCGGGGGAGGAGAAATAATTGTGTAATGTCTTAGGAGCAAGGGAGCATTCCAAAACCATGACTGTGCGGCCCTTTCCAGCACTAAATCTGGCAGCCAAGTCTTCCCAGCAGCCGCCAAACCCCCTAAATCCAGCCTGAGCCTCTCAACACCCGCCGTGAAAACGGCAGCGCGATCCCCGGGTTGCTTTGCAGGGCGCATCTGCGTGGGGGGTGGGCTGGGAGCGGGGACCCGGCTGAGCCGCCCGGGCTGGGCAGCAGCGCTCCCACGTCCCCAGCAAAGTGATCAGGTTGTGAAACCACAGACGGGGAGGTAGCGGCTTTGGCTGTCTGTATTTCACTGAGACCAGTTGCATTTTTTTTTTCACTTTTCCAAGTGCTTTTTGGTATCCAAACAGTTTCAATTTATGTTCAGCTCCTCCTTCTCAGATACAAGTAGTGTAGCTAAAGGCTGTGTGGGATTTTACAGACCTTAAATTGAATCCATGTTCGTGACAGCTACAGCTTCTCTAGGGAAACTTTTTTTTAAATGGAAAATAAGCCAAGTCACTGTCTTCCAACAGGTTATCAGGAGCATTTAACCAGGCTCACCTCCTAACTTGCTGTTTACACTGGAGAGGCGTATTGACATGAAAAGTAAGGAATGTATTAGTGAATATTGATTGGCCCTGGGGCAGCGGCAGTCAGGCATTGCACAAGTACAGGCATCTGCTGAGATTGTGGCATGTTATTTGAAGCTTTCAGTAAGACACTTGTACTGCCGTGGGTCCGGGAAGGCTGTCACTTCCGCGGGAGGTAGAATAAGAACATGGCATGATGTCCTTTGGAAAAGGAGGTAAGGGCAGGCAGCGCTTTCCCACAAAGCACAAGCACTCATGGTTCAAGCCTAGTTTAGGCTTTAAAATTCTTCTGTTCCAAGTCCCTTTCTCTGTTTTGCTTGTGGATGTTTTTGTGGAATTTAGCCGCTCTGCTCCGGGTCTGGGCAGTTGCCCTTCGCTGCTGCGCTGGGGCATGCTATAAATCCAGGCTGTCTGATCATGCCTGAAGAATAGCTCACAACTTCAGAAAAAAAATTATAAGATCTAAAAGTACTGAGTTTGAGCTCCTTTTTTGATGATTGCTTGTCATTTGGATATGGCAGGTCTAGGTCTTAAGAAAAAGCTTCAGGCAGCTTTCCCAGGGGGTAAATACAGACATTGTCCTTGGTGCTCAGTGCCGGGTAGTTTCGGCAGCAGTAGCAGGCGGGACGGGGACGCTTTCAGCAGTGGGAGCCGGCGTTGCTGGTGGGTGTGGGTCATGCTGTGGGTGTCAGCGATGGTTGTTGGCGTGAGTGAGGGCTGGAGGCTGGTCTTGTCTGAAATGCACAGCTTGGCCTGCCTGGGGGCTGCATGAGCCTGAAATTGCAGATGCTGCTGTGCCCAAACCAGCGCCACTTTGATCGTCTCGAAGCTGCGATCCTCCCAGGAGCTCAGAGCCCAAGTTCTGCCCTGGCTGTTGAGTTTCCCTTTGAAGCGAAGAGCAATGCCAAGCCCTTTTTGGAACTTTCTTCTGCTTCTGTATAAAAGTCCCTCTGATACCCAAGACACTTGCCAGGACACTTGTCCTGTGCTACCTTGGCCATGATTTAGATGTCTCAGCAAATTCAATTCCCCTCGATGGGCATACCTGTCAAATTTTAATTTGGAAGTTTACTTTCTTTTTCATTGCACCAGCTGTGCCAGCAAGTCCTACCAGCTAAAACTGTTTCTGTTGTGAAACACTGCTGCGGGGCTTTCTGCTGGTAACTCACACAAATGACCCATGTAGCTCTGTCGTTCTGTCCCCAAATGCCTTCAATCCCCTTCCAATTTAATTTGGGGGCAGCTGCTGTCTTGACACACATTTCTGGGGGGCCTCCCTGCTTGTGCTGATTGGAGCTGTGACCTGTTGGTGGGGCAGGAGGAGAGCTGCTCCTGGGGGGTTCTGGAGGGAGGCACCCCCCCGTGCCCCTGGCCTCTCAGGCTCTGGCAGCGCTGGTGGCGGCCTGGGACTGTCCAAAGCAGCTCTTGTTTGCCCGGCGGCGCCTCTCTGGGGTCCTGTCCTGGGGTGCTGTTGCCTGGCGTGCTCCGGCGGTGGCAGCAGCCCTGTGCACACACACAGCCATGTTTAGAAGTGGAGACGCCTTGTCCTTGGCTGCACTGGCTAGAAAACATTTTCTGTGTTCCCTGCTAGTGTTTTGCGCTCTCTGGGTGCTGCAAGCTTCCTTAGGTCTTGTCTGTATTACAGGTTGCACAGCCTGAGCTGAAGATGTGTGTTTTGGGGTTTTTGAAATCCAGTTACATGCCTCACGGTGGTTCTAGCCTTGAGCCTGGTCTGTGTTGCATTA